TCCCTGTCTTTGTTACGGTTACTATTGCTGTTATGAAACATAATGACCAAAGGCAATCCAAAGACAGCTTGGAGAGGAAAGGGTTTATTTCACTCATAGCTCCATACAACAGTTCACCATCAAAAGGAGTGAGGACAGAGACTCAAGCAGAGCGGGGACCTGGAGGCAGGAACTGATGCAGAGGCCGTGGAGGGATGCTGCTTACTGGCTTGCTTCCCATGGCTTGCTCAGCCTGCTTTCTTATACAGCATAGGACCACCAGCTCAGGGATGGCACCACCCACAGTGGGCTGGCACTCCCCATCAATCACTAATTAAGCGAATACCCAGGGGTTTGTCTGCAGCCTAATATTATGGAGACAGTTTTTCAATTGAGGCTCCCTTGTCTCTGATGACTCTAGTTTGTGTCAAGTTGACATAAAACTAATCAGCACAGACCCCCTCTTCTGACATCCTTGGGCATCAGGCATAAATGAAATGTACACATATACACAAAGGGAAATTGCTCAAACACATACAATAAAATAAACAACTTCTGCCGGGTGGTGGTGGCGCACGTCTTTAATCCCAGCACTTGGGAGGCAGAGGCAGACGGATTTCTGAGTTTGAGAGTTCGAGGCTAGCCTGGTCTACAGAGTGAGTTCCAGGACAGCCAGGGCTACACAGAGAAACCCTGTCTCGAAAAACAAAACAAAAACAAAAAAAACAAAAAAACCAAACCAAAACAAAACAAAGCAAAAAAAAAACCCACAACTTCTTAAAAAAAGAAAAGCTATTTTAAAAAGATGATAACCAACTCCTTGCTAGTTTTCTTGTCTTAGTTTTTTCTCTTCTAAACATCTTGAAGTTGCTTTGCATTTTGGCCATCTAGAGTTCTATGGACTATAAATAGTCAGACTTATTAAATGAGTTAATAAAATTCTCATAACACAGAACACTAAGGTGTTTGTCAAAGGAATCCATACAGGCCTTTCCATCTTCTCTTATGATGCTCTTAGAACCAGGCAGCGCTCCGGAGCACCTGCCCATTGTTCTAGGTGTTGTAGTCCTCCTGTCTCCCTCCTTGCCTCTCTCTGCCTGCCTGCCTGCCTGTCTCTCCGCCCTCTCATCCACAGGCAGTCTTTCTCCTCTTCCCACCATTTAAACACGGGTGCTCCCCAGGCCACCGTCTCAGACCATCTCCCTCCTGCCGCCATGCCTCCCCACAGTGGCACTTTGCAGTTAGCTTATGCCTGGTACCTACTTGACTGCAGCCACTACAGGGAAAGGAGATGATTAGCTTTCCTCAGCCTGGAGGTTTGTAAAAATTGAAATTCATTTCAATACAATTTTCCCATCTATTTGGTACCAAGAACACTAGCTCAACTGTTTTTTTTTCCCCCCTAACATTAGTTTTGTATCCATAAGGGATAGCTCTGGTCACAGTGGCCTAAAAAGGAAGTGGGTTTCTTACCCATAGGGCTTCCTCATGCTTTTCTTTCTGAAGACTCCATTTCTTTGCCCACAGTGTCTGCTTTCCCATGGGAAGGAACATCAAGATGTTTTCAGCTAACACAAGCCGCTTTCATTTTATTTCTCTCTCTCTCTCTCTCTCTCTCTCTCTCTCTCTCTCTCTCTCTCTGTGTGTGTGTGTGTGTGTGTGTGTATCTGGGGGGCATTCCAGAGAATGACAGAGAATAAGATTACCCAGATTATCGACTGCTCACCAGCGTCTTGAAAGAAGTTAGAGGCTATTACTAACCAGGGACAAGTAAGGGCTATCCAAGAAAGTGTGCTAGAGAGCTTGCCCCAAGGAGCTGCCAGTACAGGTGTGGGACAGAATATTTACACCAAAAGGAGGGTCATCCCAGGGAAAGAAAGGCTGAAAATCAGTGGGGCTGGTCACAGGGAGGTGTTCGGAACAGTAATCATTATCTCTTCTTGAATATCTACATTTAAATCTAACCCCAGAAACAGTGGTGAAAACTATATGAAGCACTTTTTTTTTTTAAATCAAGTTCCTAATCACTGACACAGGTGAGGATGAAAAAAATTGTTGTTATCACCCGTTGCCTGCCATGTATGAAATACTTGCTGGGGATAAGATGCTAAGACCTGTGTTATCTCTGCCCTCGTTGAGCATATAGGCAGAGATACACTGCCCAATATGGTAGCCAGTAGCCACATGTGCCTATAAAATGAATGTTTAGTTCCTCAGTCACTAGCTGCATTTCATCATGTTTTCAATGCCACAAGTGGATGGAGACTGCCAACACTGCAGAGTTCTGTGGACCAGCATGGAAACAAGCAATTGCATATCTCTGTGGTAAAGGCGGGGTAGAAACTGATGTGTGCAGGGGAGCATACTATTTATACTAATATTCTTATTATAATTAAGATGTAGAAACCAAGGCTCAGTGAGGTCAGACAATGAGACCATGTTCATATACTTTCGAAGTGGGAGAGCTGGGATTTGAACTCAGGCTTGTCTTTGTCATATGTTATTTAGGTTGTTTTATGGAGGAAAGGACCCAACCCACAGGTAGGAATTCTTTAAAGAGAGAAGGCACCATTTCTGGGAATATGACATTTTGGGCAAAGGCATAGATGAGCAAGGTTGGCAGAGGACCACAGGTAAACCAGTCGGGCTGGAGAGACAGTGATTTGTTGAAATCATGTCCTAGGAGAGGTAAGTTGGAACCTGTCTGTCTTGACTAAAAGCCAAGGAACTAAGAGATTTAGCCCCAGATGAAGGTGAGTCTTTACAGGATAGAAGCAGAAGCATAGAGTGGCCAGAACCACTCCATGGGAGAGAGCAGCAGTCTTTTTTCAACTGGGAATGAACTAATCTTGGGAGACCAGTTAAGGATTACAAGGAGATTGAAGGGAAGGGAGGAATGAAGGGTGTGAGCGAAGATCAGCGTGGGGGCCTAAAGATCTAAGGTTAAGGTTCAATACTTTGTATCATTGGATAGCATCCTTTACTATTGTGGGCTTCTTTCCTCACACTGCAAAAAGGCAAAGCAGGCCCAGAAGATCTCTGCGGTTCCCCTTACCAACGGTAGTCTAGGATCTACAAATGTGGATGACGTTAGGTTAAGGAAAGCACTATAGTGTACATGGTGTTAAATATTGAGACAAAGAAGATGGCCGTCAAGGACCATCCCAAGATGAAGAGAAAATTATTTTCCAGTAACAAAGCCAGCTAAGTGTGTGCAGGAGCTAGCTTGTCTTTTATTTTTTGGAGGAGGATGAGCACGGGATACAGCAGCTGGAAAGATAGTGAAAAAACAATGGCTTTAAAAAGAAAAGAAAACAATGAGCTTGTTTTAAAGAAAGTTCTGCAGAGTTAGAGGCCATCATTTTAGATCAAGATAGCTTTTAAACTGTTTTTGACCTATGATTTACAAGTAGGAAATACAATTTACATCAGGTGTCCAGTATTTATACCTGAAAATAAAGGGTTTATGAGGCAACAGTCGACCTTCCTAAGGGCAATGGGCTCTAATACACACACACACACACACACACACACACACACACACATATATATGGATTCTAATATTTTGTTGGCTTTTCAAAAGCTTTATTGTCACTCACTTAATTTCTTTTATTCATGTATCAGGATTCAACAAGTTTTCGTTAAGTTGGAGGCAAAGGCAGGGTGTCCTATGCAGACGTTCAGAAGAGAGCTGAAGAGGCAGACCAGGGCAGGGATTCAGGCTCCGAGAGTTTAAAGAACATTTCGCTCTGGCCCAAGTAAACAGAAAAGAGCAAAACCCCGGGAACCGCTAGGTGGGACCCTCCCACCCGGATAATGGAGGAGAGGGTTCCCCAAAGATCGGGGCCAGGCGTCCATCCTGACGTTGAGTTTTCCCGAGCCCTGCAGGGAGCTCCCCCGACATTCTCCGGAGAGGACTACGTGCCCACTCCCTCTATTCATTTCCCTCGCGTGTCAGCTAGAACGGAGCCCTCACGCGCTGGGGCGAAGACACTTTGCCCGGCAGCGGGACTGCTGTCGGCGGCAGCGGATCGCGCTCCCCGGCCCGGCCGGCGCGCGCACACCCACGCGCGCACTCCCAAGCACGCACACACAAACTTGTGGCCGCCTCTACCACGGAGCTCCGGTCGGCGGCTGCGGGCCAGCGCACCGCGCTCTCGCACAGCGCGGCTCGCACGGCCGCTCGGCTCCCCTCGGGCCGCGCTCGGCCCCCGCCGACGCCCGGCTCTGCCCTTCGGCTCGGCCCTCCCCGCCTCGCATCCGTGCCATCGGCGCTCGATTGCGCGCGGACTCCCTGGGGCTCTTCCCGGCTCGTTCGCTCGCGCTTGCCCGCCCGCTCGCGCCCGGCCGCGCCGCCCCGCCCCCGCCCCCTCCCCCTGCTCCTCACGGGCAACTTTTGCCGGCGCCCCCGCCTCACAGCCATGCGGAGCTGAGCTCCGGCCCGGGCCCTGGCCGCCGCAGCCCGCCCCGGCTCCCGCCCTCGCGGACCCGCCCGGCCCTTGGCCTCGGCGCCTT